GTCGCCCAGGCGTGATCCTGGATTGCGGCCGCCACGAGGTCGGGAACGGCGAAGAGGACGACGACTGGTGGCTGGAGCTCTACGTGCTGCTCTCGCGCGCCACGCGCCACGAGGACCTCCTGCTCATGCGGGCGCCGCGCATCGAGTTCTTCCTGGCAGCGCCGCCGCAGGGCTTGCGGAAACAGCTGGAGCAGTTTGCGGCGCGCACGAAGCGGCGCAGGAGGGAGGCGACGGCCCTCGCCAGGGAGCTCGGCTGAACCGAGTTCATCCGCGAGGCCTGACCTAAGGAGCGTCCCGCCCGAGCCGCGCCTTCTCTCGATTGTCCGACCAAGTGTTTGGCCTCGCGCCGCGGACGACCCGCGCGCGTCGCTGGGACCCTCCCAGGGCGACCAGCGCGCGTCGCGGGAACTCCGTGCTGCGCTCTGCCCAGCGCCTCGCTCGCCCGTCGTCGCTCTGCCCAGCGGCCAGAGCCTTGCCCGCAATCGGCCAGCCGGCCAGATCTCTCTTTGCTCCGCGCAGCGGACGACCCGCGCGCGTCGCTGGGACCCCTCCGCGGCGACCTGCGCGCGTCGCGGGGACTCCGCGCTGCGCTGCGCCCGCAGCCTTGGACTTTGGAGTGCGCGGGCAAAGAGGAAGGAAAAAAAAAAAGGAAACGGGCGCTATCCTCGTGAGGGGCGTGCCGACATGGGCGTCGCGGCGTGCGGCTCCTTGCGGCGGCCACCTTCAGTGTCACAAGTACTCAGAGCCAGTCATACTCAAACCGTTCACCATCGTATACAATTACATTGGGCTTAGTCATGCTCGCATTCATGCACATAGACTCGCTCGCACGCAAATTCATTCACAAACAGACGCACTCGCGCTCAGACTCACCCGCGCCCAGTCACTCCTACTCAGAACTATCATCCTCGCTCGCGTTGTGTACCCCCGCCACACATTTCGGCACACCCTTCATACGGTTCGTGGCCCCAAAGGAAGGGAGCGCCACCGAGGAATATATACACATTTGCGGTATTCACAACTACGTATGGTTGGGTCCTTCGCCAGGCTAATTTTGAATGTTCCTCCTGTAGAGGGAAAGCCTTCCCCCCGGCGGCGCGGGCCCATGTCAACCCTCCCTGCGCGCTGCTCTCCTGCGCCCCCTCGCAACCACAAAAAGCGGCTCCATGTGACACAGAAGCTGCCTCAAGGCGTCTGCAAGATGATCTGCGACTGGCCCAAGACCGGAGGGTTCCAAAGGGAGTTGTTGGGGAGGGGCTTTTCCAGAGAGCCCCCCAGGGGCCTCGGAACCTGGTCAAAACAGGGGGTGCGAAGCCCCTGGGGGACCCCTCCTGGAAACCCCGCTGCCGAAAAAAAAACCTTTGGAACCCTCCGGCAAGACGGCTCGCACCCCCCTGGAGTTAGGTCCGGCATGTCCCCCTACAGGTGGACTTTGAACGAAAAATAAGAATACCCGAAACAAATTCAAAAAAAAGTATGGGTCGACAAGTAGTCCCTAGACTATTCTTGACTAGTTTGGAATACTCCTCTTGTAGAGGGACAGGCCCGACTTCACCCTAGAGGCAGAAATCTGTATCCTCGAGGCACTCTCAGACCTCAGGAAGCCGCTCAAGGAACCTCTAGCATGTCCCTTGGAAGCCAACAGCCCATGGTTCCCCCTGCTTCTTCGTCTTTTTCCCCACATGTTTCGTGGGGTTCTGGTTTTCTTCCCTGCCGCGCCGCACCCGCGTCTCACACCTCCCCCCTCCCCTTCTCCTTCTCGCGCAGCACAACACAACACAGCACGGCACGGCACGGCACGGCACAGCACAGCTCACCGCACAGCAGCACAGCACAGCACAGCACAGCACAGCACAGCACAGCACAGCACAGCACAGCATACCACACAGGGCATTCCTTCGACGCCACAGGGGGTGGGGGTGCGCAGAGGGTGGTCCCTCAGCGCGGCCTCTATCCGTGACGCGCTCGCAGGTCGTGGCAGGCGTGACACTTTCTCGACACCACAGGGGGTGCGCAGAGGGTGGTCCCTCAGCGCGGCCTCTATCCGTGACACGCTCGCAAATCGTGGCAGGAGTGACACTTTCTCGAAGCCGCAGAGGCTGCGCAGGGGGTGGTCCCTCAGCGCGGCCTCTATCCGTGACACGCTCGCAGATCGTGGCAGGGGTGGCACTGTCTCGACACCACAGGGGGTGCGCAGAGGGTGGTCCCTCAGCGCGGCCTCTATCCCTGACACGCTCGCAGATCGTGGCAGGAGTGGCACTTTCTCGACGCCACAGGGGGTGCGCAGAGGGTGGTCCCTCAGCGCGGCCTCTATCCGTGACACGCTCGCAGATCGTGGCAGGAATGGCACTTTCTCGACACCACGGGGGGTGTGCAGAGGGTGGTCCCTCAGCGCGGCCTCGCCTCTATCCGTGACACGCTCGCAGATCGTGGCAGGAATGGCAGATTCTCGACACCACAGGGGGTGCGCAGAGGGTGGTCCTTCAGCGCGGCCTCTATCCGTGACACGCTCGCAGATCGTGGCAGGAGTGGCATTTCCTCGACACCACAAGGGGGTGCGCAGAGGGTGGTCCCTCAGCGCGGCCTCTATCCGTGACACGCTCGCAGATCGTGGCAGGCGTGACACTTTCTCGACACCGCAGGGGGTGCGCAGAGGGTGGTGCCTCAGCGCGGCCTCTATCCGTGACACGCTCGCATATCGTGGCAGGAAAGGCACTTTCTCGACACCACAGGGGGTGCGCAGAGGGTGGTCCCTCAGCGCAGCCTCTATCCGTGACACGCTCGCAGATCGTGGCAGGAGTGGCACTTTCTCGACACCACAGGGGGTGCGCAGAGGGTGGTCCCTCAGCGCGGCCTCTATCCGTGACACGCTCGCAGATCGTGGCAGGAGTGGCACTTCTCGACACCACAGGGGGTGCGCAGAGGGTGGTCCCTCAGCGCGGCCTCTATCCGTGACACGCTCGCAGATCGTGGCATGAGTGGCACTTGCTCGACACCACAGGGGGTGCGCAGAGGGTGGTCCCTCAGCGCGGCCTCTATCCGTGACACGCTCGCAGATCTTGGCAGGAGTGGCACTTTCTCGACACCACAGGGGTGCGCAGAGGGTGGTCCCTCAGCGCGGCCTCTATCCGTGACACGCTCGCAGATCGTGGCAGGAGTGGCACTTTCTCGACACCACAGGAGGTGCGCAGAGGGTGGTCCCTCAGCGCGGCCGCTATGCACGACGGTCGTCCAGGGCATAGCAGGCGTGGCACTTTCTCGACACCATAGAGGCTGCGCAGGGGGTGGTCCCTCACCGCGGCTGCTATGCACGACGGTCGTCCAGGGCATAGCAGGCGCGGCATTTTCTCGACACCATAGAGGCTGCGCAGGGGGTGGTCCCTCACCGCGGCCGCTGGCTGGCTCGAATCTGTCCTCGATGGAGGATAGACGGCTAGGAAGAGGGAGGAGGTTCAAGCAATATGGCGTTGGATGACACATAGGGGAACATTCGCGACGAGGGCTGAGAACGCAGAATTGCACATATATCATAAACTCAAGCAAGCACTCAAGATTTAAGTTAAGTATGTGGGGTTCCTCGGTAGCGTAATTATTATTATTCATCTTCTGCGTATGCTTCTTATTTTTCTTATTCTTATTAGTATTATTATTATTATTATTAGTAGCAGTATTAGTTTTACTATTAGTATTAGTATTACTATTAGTATTATTATTATTATTAGTAGTAGTCATAGTAGTAGTAGTAGAAGTAGTAGTAGTAGTAGTAGTAGTAGTAGTAGTAGTAGTCGTAGTAGTAGTAGTAGTAGTAGTAGTAGTAGTAGTAGTAGTAGTAGTAGTAGTAGTAGTAGTAGTAGTAGTAGTAGTAGTAGTAGTAGTAGTAGTAGTAGTAGTAGTAGTCGTAGTAGTAGTAGTAGTAGTAGTAGTAGTAGTCGTAGTAGTCGTAGTCGTAGTCGTAGTCGTAGTCGTAGTCGTAGTCGTCGTAGTCGTAGTCGTAGTCGTAGTCGTAGTCGTAGTCGTAGTAGTAGTAGTAGTAGTAGTAGTAGTAGTAGTAGTAGTAGTAGTAGTAGTAGTAGTAGTAGTAGTAGTAGTAGTAGTAGTAGTAGTAGTAGTAGTAGTAGTAGTAGTAGTAGTAGTAGTAGTAGTAGTAGTAGTAGTAGTAGTAGTAGTAGTAGTAGTAGTAGTAGTAGTAGTAGTAGTAGTAGTAGTAGTAGTAGTAGTAGTAGTAGTAGTAGTAGTAGTAGTAGTAGTAGTAGTAGTAGTATGTTTCTTCCCGGGCTCGTCTGCCTGAGCTGGCTTCAGGGAATCCCCAGAGGGTCCTAAGACGGCCGAGGGCCGAGGGCCGAAGACCGAATTGCCGAGACGAGAAGGCTCCCGGACGGCCCCAAGCCTCGCGTGGGCGCTTGTTGCTTCGAAGGGGCCCCTTCGGGAGAGCGCGGCAGGACCTTGGCGCCCAGAGCGACTCCAGGACCCCCAAAAGGCCCCCAGGAGGACCCCGAACATTCCAAAGAGGCCCCCGAGAATGGCCCCAAGAGGCCGCGGAGAGCGCCGAACCAGTCTCCGAGACGATAAGATCCTGCAGAACCAACAGGGCTACGTAACTCCACTACCGCGCCACGTCGCAGCTCTCTTCGGGAGGACGTAGAAGGTGGGGCATGGGCTGAGGGTGGGGTTCGAGGGAGGCCGCTCCGAATTGCCCCTGGAAGGCCCTGCGCGCATCCCAACCTTGGGCCCCCCCCCCCTCTACGAGCCTCCCCCGAGCCAGAGCGGCGCTGCGCCGTGGGCGGGCCCGAGACGGCCCTGCTGGGCCAGGGCCCGCTCCGGGAGAGCTCGGTTACGGCCGTCCTCCTAGCCGGGGCCTAACCTGCGCGCTATCGCGCGGGGTCTCTCGCTCTCCTCCTCCTCCTCCTCCTCCTCCCCGTCCTCCTCCTCCCTCCTCCCTCCTCCTCCTCCTCCTCCTCCTCCTCCTCCTCCTCCTCCTCCTCCTCCTCCTCCTCCTCGTCCTCGCACCGGGCCCGTGCGTGCGCGGCCTGTTCAGCACCCCGAAGCTGCGCTGGGGCACGGCGGCGAGGCCTGCCGCAGGCAGCCGGACATCTGTGACCCTCATCACGAGATTTCTTGCCCTCCAGGCTGCGCGCAGGAGGGGACGGGGCGCGCCACGGAGCTCCGCCCGGCCAGCGGGCGCCTCTTCTCGTGGGGGCTGCGCCTCCTCCCGCGAGCTCTTCTGGCCGGGTGCTGCCGGCGGCGCCCCATGGCCCAAGGGTGCTCCCGGGGCTCCCAGGAGGAGGAGGAGGAGGAGGAGGAGGAGGAGGAGGAGGAGGAGGAGGAGGAGGAGGAGGAGGAGGAGGTGGGAGGAGGAGGAGGAGGTGGGAGGGAGGAGAGGAGGTGGGAGGAGGAGGAGGAGGAGGAGGAGGAGGAGGGGAGGGACGAGGAGGAGGGAGGAGGGAGGAGGAGGAGGAAGGAGGAAGGAGGGAGGAGGAGGGAAATCGAGGGGAGGAGGAGGAGAAGGGAAGGAGGAGGAGGAGGAGGACGACGACGAGGAGGAGGAGGAGGACGAGGAGGACGAGGAGGCCGAGATGGGCTCCAAACTGGAGCGAAAAGTTGGTGACAGCTTGGGCCAAGGACACCTCTGGCAGCCCCCGATCTGGCGGGAGAGCCGGTTGGCGTCCGTTCGACAGAGCGCCGCGCGAGCAACCCCAAAAGGAGGTGCTCGCGTGTAAAGGGCGGGCACAGGCCGACCACGTGCAGACCCCTGCGATACCCAGAGTAGGCGGGGAGGCGTGAGCAGTCCTGGGCGGTGAAGGAGCCCCGCTGCGCGAAGGAACAGCACACACCCTCATCCGTAACTAAGAACGTCAGAGGGAGTATGACTGGTTATGGGTATGGGCGCGGGTGGTCGGACCCTGTGGGGGGGGGCCCTTTCGAATGGGGACCCCCATCCGACAACACGCACCCATAGCCCCCTCCGACCCCCCGATGGGTATAGGTGCGTGTTGTTCGCTCGCCACCTCTTGAGAGGAGAGAGGTTTGTGGAAAGCATATCGGAGGACCACGCGGATGTCTTGGATAGTCGGCGGACCCCGCTCCCTGGCGCCACGAAGGGGGCGCCAGAGGTGCCGCTGAGGGGGTCCGGCGCCGATCCAAGCCATCCGCGCGGAACTCCGACAGCTTACCAGGAATCTGGACGCACTTTTCACAAGCGAAAGAGCAGCCCCATGGCAAAGGAAATGAAACCACGACAAAGTGACGACCGACCGGAGAGGCAGGAATCTGAAAGCACACATGGCAAAATCCACCTGCGCAACATCCAGAAGCCACGCGCTGGATTCACATGCGGAAGCCCAGCATGCCTGGCCACAGCAGTTCCGAGCTCTGCGAAATTGTCGTCCACACGTGCATCCAGATCTCGCCCAGGCTGGCCGCGTCGTGTGCATCCAGGTGCTGCATCCAGCTTCCTGGCATGTTTACGTGAATGCTTCTTGTCCTTCTTCTCGGGAGCGGCCAAGAGGGGGGTGTCCAAGGGGGGGGGGTGCAGATCATGACCGGCGGCATGTGCGCGGCCCAGCGGGAGTGCCAGGGACGTAATGAAATAAGAAGAGGCGCCATGACATCTGGGGAGATATCATGGCCCCCGCCATGCTATCCACCCCCACCCAGTCATCACCCCCCTCTTGTCCGCCCCCGATCTTCGACCTCTGGAGACCGTCGGACGGCACGGGGGAAAAACAAAAAAACGCGCCCCAGGCACGCTGACGGCTCGCGCCTGGACGGCGGGGTCACGCCGCAGACACCACTGGAAGAGCGGCCCGGGACAGGGCGCCGGCATCCTCTGGCGGGGGGGGGGGGGCAAAATCAGGGCAGGCACCGTGCCATGCCGTGCTGTGGGCCCACCACGAGTTCTTCGTAGACCAAGCGAACGCTGCAATGATTGACCAGGGACCGACCGTCCCGGCATTCCTATAGTCATACCACGAAATGTTCTCAGAACCCAAACAAATCCTAAGAACAGAAACAATGTTCTTATAACATGTACCCGAGATTTTAAAACAAGACAGTCCCAGCTAGAACTGTTCTAAGAATATTTCGTGGGAACCGCAAAAGGTTCTTAGAACATTGTTTGGTGGGGCTATAGGCGAGCCAGGACGTTTCGCCACTGCTTGAAATGACGTGCGCAAGATCCTGTCTTTGCCCGTGGGCGCGCGGGCGGGCCAGGACGCTTTTTGTTACTCCCTGGCAAGCCCCCGAAAGAAACTTCTGACCCGTCGCTTAGAGCTGCATGTGTTGTTTTCTTTAATGTGATGTTTATGTTTGTTACTTTCGTCGCTTAAGACTGCATGTGCCACCCTCGTTGGTCCAACCGATGCTCCCCTTGCTACCCTTTTCACGCCAGTTTGTTCTCACGGCATAAGAGCGAATAGTGGCAACGAACTACTTTAAGTCGTGAGGGCCATCACGTGTGAGGGATGAGGGTCGCCACCCAGCGCGACACCGACGACCTACGTGACAGAGCATTCAGATGTAGAGCACATCGAATGCTCATCACTGGGAGTATTCTGTCCTCATAGCACTCGTCTCTGGATGGACTGGGTGGGGTTGCGCGAAGCGCCAATGATTTTGCCCGACGCGTCCTCGCCGAGACCAGTAGCGCCCGTCGTGGCATGGCCTTTCTCCACGCCCAGGGCCTCGGAGCACCTGTGCATCACAATGTTGCCAACGACGGTGGAGACTATGACGGCCACAAGCAGCACGAAGAAACCCGCCTTCAACTCGGACTCGACGTCGAAGCAAGTGACCCGGCCTGGCACGCGCGATGCGATGGGGGGTATCTTCTCCACAAGCGCGTCCAGCCCGTCGCACTTGTCGCCGATGATGAACAGCGCGAACTGGCGGATCTCGAGGACCCCCGCCATGATGCTCACCATGAAGACGTCCAGCGCACTCCACGCATTCATTACCTCCCGATGGAGGACGAATGGGTGGAGGGGGGAGGGAGATCTCGATCAGTCGGCACGGGGCATGCTCCTCGTCGCGCGAACTCTATCCAGTGCCCTGCATCCATGCGGGCTGGTCTCGCTGAGGCGCTACTTGACAAGGGAAGGGAAGGTGGGTGAGCAGGATGCGCCAGTCAGACACGGAGCGCCCCATGTAACATAGGAGTCATCATGAGCCAAGCTCTCCCTGTCCTGTCTTTACAGCCAAGGCTGCTGCGCAAACATTCGCCTACGGAGGTCCAGCTTACTAATTTCGGCTCCCCCGTCCCGGCCGGATCAAAATTGAATGTCCTTTAAGACAGGCCCCAGTGGCGGACCTTGCCACGCCCCTTGCTGGAAGAAGCCATCAGAAGAAGGAGGGACGAAGCTTCGCTGGGCCAGGGGCCAGCCGGCCAGACGATTTGCCAGGTCCGAACCCCTAGCTATGGCCTCGACGCAGTTTGACTTGTCTGTTTCATTCGAACCTCAAGTATTACCAATGACTATAGTATAAGTGCAAGGCCCCGCCTCATAGTACAATGGACTCGACGAGTGTCCCGCTAGTGAGCACATAGTTACACATGAACGCTTTCTTCATGTGCAGCTGCGGCCCTGGCCTCCGTCTGATTATGCACTACAGATCCCTGCAATCGCAGCAACCCGATAGAAAGACGAGACACGCTGCATTCGAACTTGAATTCGCTGATCAGTAGTTGGTCAAGTCCATTAGCGGGCCACTGGTGAGCCAAATTCACAGTAGGCCATTCGAGAGGCCAGTAGTGAGGCCATTACTGAACCATTGGCGGGGCATTGGCGGACCACGAGTGGGGCATCAGGGGTGCGAGAACAACAACGGGGCAGTCCAATAGCCCATGCGTGCGACGGCGAGGCGCGCCAGGGACGCAAACATAGAGGCGCGAGGGCGGGAATGGAGGGGGGGGGGGGGCGGGGGGAAGGGAGGAGGTAGGAGGCAGGGGCGGGCTGGGCAAAAGGGGGAAGAGCTTTTGAGGGGAGGGGCCGGTGGGCGGAGGTAGGGGTGAGGTTAGGGTCAAGCTAGCCAGCTCGAGCGAGTCAAGCATGGCATGCCCATTCCCACCCGCCCTCCCACAACATAAGAAACAGTGATGGCACAACTGGGGGCTGCGCGGGCATTTCAGTGCGAGTGGAGGATACCCCAGGACACCGCATTGACGTCCGCGCGGGATGTGCGCCGCGCCCCATTCCCGCCACGCATTTCGCATCGTCGACGACAAGACTGGCCATGTTGAAAGGAACAACGGAAACGTTCCGTTTTGGGACAAATTCGCCAGCCCACACGGGCCAGAGGCGTGCTAAATCTCCCGGGCCAGCCCAACGGGCCAGAGGCGTGCTAAGATCTAACTAGTTACAATCTTCTAGTTTGCGCGCGCGGGGCGGCCCTTGGGGGCCCCCGGACGAAAAGAACCCCGAGCAGGTCCTGGGCACGTCGGTCCCAGCGATGGTTTTCTTCTTCGGCGCTGACTTCCAGGTCCCAGAGCGCCCCAGGAACGCCCCAAGAGAGCCGAGACGCCCCCGAGACGATCCGAGGGGCCCTGAGTCGCCGAAAGATCGTTCCAAGACGCCCAAGATGGCCTCCAGACGGCCGAAGACGCCGCCAAGAAACCGCGGGGAGCCTCTCGAGGCCCTCCAAGAGCCTGAACAAGCAAAAACCTCCCAGGCATTCGTCACCCCAGGGCCTCCTGGAACGCCCCGGCGCCCAATGTGAATTGGCGAGCTAAAAACGTGCGCCGAGCCAAAGCGGGAGCGCAACTTTGAGAAAATGTCGCTCGGCGCCCAAGCGGGAAGGTCATTTCATTCACTTCGAGCGGGGGGGGGGCGGTGCCGCGCCCAATTCTTGCCATGCACTTTTGCGGGGTGGGCGACAAGAACAGCTATGTGGGCAGGGACAATCAGCATGGCATTGCTTCTGACAAGTAAGGCGGCCCCTCCCGCCTTGGGGTTGCCCCAGAAGTCCGCGCGCGCTGTGCGCCGCGCCTCATTCCTGCCACGCGTTTCGCATCGTCGAGGACAAGACAGGCCATGATGAAAGGAAAAACGGCAACTCGATATTGTTATTTTACAATCAGGATGGGAGGGCCCGCAGCCCGCATGGACGTCCGCGCGCGATGTGCGCCGCGTCCCATTCCTGCCACATATTTCACACCGTCGGCGACAAGGGAGGCCATCTGAGAGGAAAGAACTGACTTTGTATTGATTTTTTAGACTCGGGATGGGCGGGCCCGGATTGACGGCCGCGCGCGCGATGTGCGCCGCGTCCCATATGTGCGCCGCGTCCCACTGCTGCCACATATTTCGCACCGTCGGCGACAAGGCAGGCCATGCTGAGATGTAAAAGAGGAGACTTTGTACTGATTTTGTTGGAGTCAGGATGGGCGGGCCCAGATTGACGGCCGCGCGCGATGTGCGCCGCGTCTCATTCCTGCCACGCTTTTCGCATCGTCGACGACAAGAGAAACGATGTTGAGAAGAAAAACGGCCACTTTGTATTGATTTTTTACAGTCCGGATGGGAGGTCCCGGATTGGGTCGCTATCGGCCGTAGGTGGGGGTATATTCTCATAAGGAACAAGGATAAGGGGGCAGGGGTGGGGAACGCTGCTGGCACGAGTAAGGCGGGGGCAAGCGGAAAGGGGGAGGGCGCAGGATGGGGGAGGGGGGGGATTTCGGTCAGCGGTCACGCGGGATTGGCAGCGGGGGGGGATGGGGTGGTGGCGGAGGTAGGAATGGGGTGGAAAGAGAGGAATGGAGAGGATGGGGGATTGAAGAAGAAGGAGGACTGGTGAGTGTAGAGGGGATAAGGGAAAAGGAATGGGGGGAGGTGGAAAGGGGGGGACACCGGGGGGGGCAGGGAGGGCCGGGAAGGGGGACAGGGGGCAGATGCGAGGAGGCGGCGCAGAGGGGAGGCGATGGACGCGCAGGGAGGAGGGATGGGAGCTTTTGGGCGTTCTCATGGGCTACGCCCAGAGCTCCTCTGATGGGAAGCACCTGCCCCCGCTGTGGTAGACCCGCCCCCCTACCAAACGCATGCGCATACATATGACAGCTGGCCGCCAGTCGGAGGATACAAAGGGAGGCGTTTGCTGGTATGACTACGAGGGACGGAACTTACCCTCCGATGTCCCTCCTCCCTCCTGATACTCCTGTTCCTGCTCCTGCTCCTGCTCATGTTCCTCCTCCTTATCCTCTTCCTGCTCCCGCTCATCACCATCATCACCATCATCATCATCATCATCATCATCATCATCATCATCATCATCATCATCATCATCATCATCATCCTCATCCTCATCCTCATCCTCATCACCATCCTCATCATCCTCATCATCATCCTCATCATCATCATCCTCATCCTCATCATCATCAGCAGCAGCATCATCATCAGCATCATCATCAGCAGCATCATCATAACTATGAAGACGATAATGGTGATGATGATGCTGGTGATGATGATGGTGATGCTGCTAACGATAACGAGGAGGATGATGATGCATCAGCATCGTCATCGTCATCGTCATCGTGTTCGCCATCACCATCGTCCTCACCCTCATCCTCATCATCATACTGATGAGGATGAGGACGCGATCTATTTCCCTCACTCCGTATCTTCTCCCTCTCCCCACTACCTCCCTCCCTTCCCCTCTCTCCCTTGCCTCCTCCCTACATCCCTCCACTCCCTCCTGACCTTCCCCTTACGAGCGTCTTTCCTTATCCTGCCTCTTCCCTCCGTCATGTGGGACAGGGGCGTTGTGAAAAGATACCTTGCCTCTGCAGAGGGGTCTCCGCACTCGTCCGCCAACCCTCCCATGCCATTATCGGTTCCTCTGCCGCATCATCCTCACTATCCTGCGATCCCTCCCTCCCTCTCTCCTTCCTCCAGCCTCCCCAGCCTCCTCATTCGCCTCCTCATCACCCTCCTCCTCCGTCTCCTCCTACTCCTCCTCGCCCCCCTGAGGAGGACGAGGAGGTACAGGAGGTCTCGCACGAGTGGGAGCACCATAACCAGTTGCTTTGGATGTGCAGGTTCGAGGACGTGACCAACGCCGAGTACGCCTACACGAACTTGTCGAACGATTCAGAGGATAAAAACCTGGCGGTGTTGAAGTCCAAGACCAAGGAGGGCCTTGCCTGCTAGAACGTGGACGAGAAGAAGAACAGGACTGAGGGTGGCATGTTCTTGGACACCGTCTACGACGAGGTTGTTCTTCGGGCTCGCAGCGGGCAAGCTATCAACAACAACACCATGGCCGACTGGGCCGTCGAGATTACCGTTTGGGCCATCCAGCAGTGGGCTGAATTGGGCGTCATGCACGTGCTTCAGCCCAAAGACGGCTTGGACGACGAGTACGAGGTGGAATGGGTGCTCACAATTGAAGGCGAAACGCTGTTCTTGAACTTCGAGAGGACGGAGAGTGAGGAGTAGGGCCAGCTATGGGTCAGTCCCCTAGGCGGCTCTCCTGCGTACGCCTGCTCGGCCGCCGTTCGGGGGCGGTGCTGATTCCGCCAGTGGGGGTTTCCCCATCTTTTAAAGGTTGGCCCGCTCGCCCTCGAAGTTGGGTCGCGCAGAGTCCGCTGCCAGTTTTTATGGTGTGAGGTTCGAGTAACTCATGTGGACTCCCCGCGCATTGCTCATTGCTCATTGCTCCTCGCCCCTCCTCCTTCTCGTCGCCTTCCTCCTCCCGCTTCTCCTCGCCCCCCTCCTCCTCCTCCTCCTCCTCTTCCTCCTCGTCCTCCTCATCCTCCTCCTTCTCGCCCCTCCTCCTCCTCCTCCTCCTCCTCCTCCTCCTCCTCCTCCTCCTTCTCTTTCTCCCCCTGCTCCTCCTCCTCCTCCTCCTCCTCGATCCTACTCGCGCCTCCACCCTCACTCGCTACTCCTCCATCCTCTCGCCCTCGCCCCCTCCTCCAATCCCTCGCCCCCCCACGCTCGCGCCCTCCTGAGGGGGTTGGGGGGCCGCACCCCCCCGGCCTGGGCGCAGACGAGGCCGTGCCGCTGCAACCGGTTGGTGAGCGGCGCGGCCCACAGGACCATGAGCGTGATCTCAGGAGCGCCCTCTCCTGCTGCCCTGCCCCGCTGCCCTGCTCCTCGTCCTCGTCCAGCTCCTCATCACTCTCCTCTGCCTCCACATATTCCTCCATCGCCTTGTCGTGCTCATCATCACCACCAATACCACCACCACCGCCATCATCATCATCATCATCATCATCATCATCATCATCATCATCATCATCAGCAGCAGCAGCAGCATCATCAGCAGCAGCATCATCAACATCATCATCATCATCATCATCGTCATCATCAACAGCATCAGCATCGTCATGATAAGCAGCATCATCATCATCATCATGATCAGCAACATCATCATGATTATCACTATAATCTTACTCATCCTCATCCTCATCCTCATCCTCATCATCATCATCATCATCATCACCACCAGCAACATCATCGTCATCATCATCAGCAGCATCATCATCAGCATCAGCATCAGCAGCATCATCGCCACCATCAGCATCACCAGCAGCATCAGAGCATCACCAGCAGCAGCATACTAGTTGTCATCGGCATCCTCTTTTTCATAAAATATCATCAACACCACTATCCCCATCACCGTCACCATCCTAATCATCATAATCATAATCATCAGTGTCATCATTGCCAGCAGCGTCACCATCACAAACATCATCATCATCATCATCACCATCATCATCATCATAATCATCATCAGTATCAGCAGCTACATCATCATCCTGAGCATCATCCTAATCATAATCATCATCACCATCAAACCAACATCATCAACACCATCGTCATCGTCATCGTCATCGTCATCGTCATGACCGTTACCCTCGCGATGGTAATCGTCATCATCATCATCGTCCTCACTATCACCACCATCAACATCACCATCATCACCAACACCCTGACCCTCAACCTCACTCGCACCGTCACCATTACCATGACCTTGACACATACCAGTAACATATCTGTATACATATATATATATATTACCATTACCAGTATCAGCACCAGTATCATGACCTTGAGGCCTACAACAAAGCATTACAATTGCCATTACCATTGCCATTACCATTAAACTTACCATTACCATTAAAATTACCATTACCATTACCATTACCATTACCATTACCATTACCATTACCCTTACCAGTGACATCATCAGCATCATCGTCACCATCACCACCATCCTCATCCTCATCCTCATCCTCATCCTGATCATCATCACCGCTCCTTCTCCTCCTCCTCCTCCTCCTTCTGCTACTGCTCCTCCTCCTCCTCCTCATCCTCCTCCTCCTCCTCCTGCTCCCCCCGTCGACCCTCCTCCTCCTCCTCCTCCTCCTCCTCCTCCTCCTCCTCCTCCTCCTCCCTCCCCCCCCTCTCCTGCTGCCCCCCGCCGCGCCCTTTCCCGCCGCCTCCGCCTCCCGCCGCCACGGCCCCGACCCGCGCCCGCGCCGCTGCCGGCTCGGCCCTCCCGCAGGGCATCGGAGCGGGCCGCCCCGCGAGGAGGCGGCGGCCGCGGCGGCCGCTCGCCGCCACCCTCGCCGAGGAGGAGGAGGAGGAGGAGGAGGAGGAGGAGGAGGAGGAGGAGGAGGAACTGCAGGAGGAGTAGGAACTGCAGGAGGAGGAGGAGGAACTGCAGGAGCAGGAGGAGGAAGAGGAATTCGCTGGGATTCGCCAGTAACCACAATGGTGGTAGGCCTGGGAGGAGGAGGAAGAGGAGAAGGAGGAGGAGGAGGAGGCGCCGGTAACCACAATGGTGGTAGGCCTAGGAGGAGGAGGAGGAGGAGGAGGAGGAGGAGGAGGATGAGGAGGAGGGGGAGGCGGAGGAGGACGAGGAAGGGAGGCGGAGGTGGAGGCGGAGGAGGCGGAGGATGGAGGAGGAGGAGGAACTGCAGGAGGATCAGGAACTGGGAGGAGGAGGAGCAGGGAGGAGGGAGGAGGAGGAGGAGGAGGAGGAGGAATTCGCTGGGATTCGCCGGTAACCACAATGGTGGTAGGCCTAGGAGGAGGAGGAGGAGGAGGAGGGAGGAGGGAGGAGGAGGAGGGGAGGAGGAGGAGGAGGAGGAGGAGGCGGCGCCGGTAACCACAATGGTGGTAGGCCTGGGAGGAGGAGGAGGAGGAGGAGGAGGAAGAGGAGGAGGAGGAGGCGGAGGCGGAGCAGGAGGCGGAGGTGCAGGCGGAGGCGGAGGAGAAGGAGGAGGAGGAGGAGGAGGAGGAGGAGAAAGAGGTCCACGACCCTGTGTCGAAAAGACGGAGGAAGGGGACGAGGGATGAAGAGGAGAACAAGGCGGGGGACGTGCAGGGAGGACGAGGACGAAGACGAGGACGATGGATGACACCGGAGGTCTCCATGGGTCCCCAGAGGGAGGCTCCCGAAGGCATCCCGACGACCCCAAGGCTCATGCGGCCTCCCGATGTCCGGGAATGGCCCAGAAACGCTCAACCCCAGGGATATCTGTTGATCCCATTCGGCGTCTGTGCCCGCTCGGCCTGCCCAGTGGACCTGGGATCGAGCCTGTTCGGCTGCCGAGCGGGCCACGTTCTCACCGCCCGTTCGACTGCCTGCTCGGCGGTCGACTGGCTGCCTAACGGGCTCAGAGGGGGATCCTGGGGCGACCACCTCCTCGTCGGGGGCAGATTGCTTTGGGGCGCTGTGGTTCTTCTTGGCCCTCTGGAGGCCTCCCGAACCTTGAGATTTCCAGAGGCCTCTCCAGAGACGAGAGGAGGATGCCAGGAAGAAAGACAGTCGCAGACGAGGGAGAAGGAAAATCGAGCAGCGCGGATAGGAGGGAGGAGGCAGCGGACGAGGATGAGCAGGATGAGGAGGGATGTGGAATGAGAAGGATCAGAAAAAGAGGTGGCGCAGGATGCGGTTGCGGAAGGCGACGGGTATGAGGTTGAGGATTGTGAGAACGAGGAACATGGTAACGGCGGCAAGCCCGACATATGCTGCAACTGCCGTCAGCGACAGCGAGAGGAGGATAAGTAGGCGGAGGAGGACGAGAGCGGGGAAGAAATAAGGAGGAAACCAGAGGAGGACACTGTTCCCCAAAAAGTGCTTGCACTTAGGGGCTCGCAACATGATCTGCACCACATAGATTGCACCACACTGACCGCACCACATGGGTTACACAACACAGGTTGCACAACATAGTTTGCGCAGCATAAGTTGCACCGCAGTCATTGCGCGCCATAGATGCCACAACATAGACTGCGTCACATAAACTACAACACGCCCATGGCACCACATGTGTTATACAACATATATCGCACCACATGGAATGCACTACATAGGCTGCACAACGTAGAGTGCATCATATAGGTTCTCCTTTCTAAAAAGAGAATAAACTCTACCCCCCCCCCGGCGTTATCCGTTTCCATTTCGGGTATGTTAATCATATATGATTCGGACCACATGTCCATCCTGTATATGAATTTACACTATCCCAGGGGGCCGGGATCGGTCCCCCTGAGGTTCCCTGGTGAAAAACAATACGCGGGGACATTTTTTGTTCTAACATAAGACTTGTTCGCGAATCCCTTGCAAAAAATGGGACGAAGTGCGCACGCGCGCGTTGTCGCGCGCGCATGCCGAAATCCTTCAAAAACCTTCGGTGTCGGACAGATTTCGCAATCGAGTTTCCAAACCAAAAAAAACAAGGTTCCGCAACACCGATTCGCTAAAAAAGCTTACGCGCGAGCTCTTGCGAAATCTTCAGAAACCCACTGGTTTTTCAAGATTTTCACAAAATGCTACCAAACGGGCTTCGCGCGCGCGCATGTCGAAATCTGTCGAACGCCCTTGCGCGTGTGCCGTCGCGAGAATCCTCTGCAAAAAATGTGACGAAGTGCAGACGCGCGTGTCGTCGCGCGCGTATGCCGGAATCCTTCAAAACCAATCGGTCTCGGAAGAATTTCAAAATCGTGTCCAACAAACCTACAAAAACAAAAGGTTTCGCAACACGGATTTTCAACAAAAGCGTGCGCGCGCGCTCTTGCGTCGTCGTCGTCGTCGTCGTCGCCGTCCTCCCTCCTCCCGCGTCGTCGTCGTCGTCGTCGCCTACGTCGTCCTCTGTCTTTCCTCGTGCTCGTCGTCGTCCTCTTTGGCGTCGTGGCCGTTTCCGTCGTCGTTGTCGCAGTGGTCGTCCTTCCTCCTCCTCCCTCGTCGTCGTCGTCGTCGTCCGTCGTCGGCGTCTCGTCGTCGTCCCTCCTATTTCGTCGCCGTCGTCGTCGTCGTCGTAGTCGTCGTCGTCAACTTCCCTGCTCCCTCATAGTTGTCGTCGTCGGCGTCGCCGTCCTTCCTCCTTCTTCGTCGTTCGCGTCGTCGCCGTCCTCCCTCCTCCCTCGTCGTTGTCTTCGTTGGCGACGTCGTCGTCGTCGTCCTCCCTCCTCCCTCGTCGTCGTATTCGTTGGCGACGTCGTCGTCGTCTTCGTCGTCGTCGTCGTCGGCGTCGTCGTCTTCGTCGTCGTCGACGTCGGCGTCGTCGTCGTCGCCGCCGTCGTCGTCGTCGTCGTCGTCGGCGTCGTTGACGTCGTCGTCGTCGTCGTCAGTGTCGTCGTTGTCGTCGTCGTCGGCGTCGTCGTCGTCGTCTTCGTTGTCATCGTCGTCGTCGTCGTCGGTGGTGTCGTCGTCGTCGTCGTCGTTGTCGGCGTCGTCGAAGTCGTTGGAGACGTCGTCGGTGTCGTCGTAGTCGTTGTCGCCGGCGTCGTCGTCGTCGTTGTCACTGTCGTGGTCGGCGTCGCTGTCGTTGCCAAGTGCCATTTGGTACCCACCGACACGGTCTTAAGAGATTTTGCAAACCAAGTTGCGGGTGGGTGGGTGGGATGTTTGCGCGAGCAGTGGAGTGGACATCTCACTGCGAACAGAAATTATATTGCACCCCATAGACTGCACCACACATATTGCACAACGGATCCACACAATTTCGGAGATCCCCGCGGATTTGTTGATTTGTTTGCTCGGCGCTGGACCCCTCTCCTCCGGCACGCAGACGGCGCGCCGAGAGCAGCGCAGGGCGCGCTGCCTGTGGGGCCCACCAGCGCCCACCCAAGAGATATCCATGCGGGCCTCCAAACTTCCTCCTCCTCCTCCTCCTCCTCCCTCCTCCTCCCTCCTCCTCCTCGTCCTCCTCCTCCTCCTCCTCCTCCTCCTCCCTCCTCCTCCTCCTCACAGTCCAGATGGGCGATGAGGCAGATCGCCGGGGCTCTCTGCGGGCGCGGCGTGGTAGGCGATCACCATCCACATGGAGAAGACGCAGAACACGAACTGCAGCCAGACCTCGGGCGCGAGGGCTCGCCGTGCCCCTCCCCCGCGAGGCGGCCCCGCTCCTCCTCGGCCTCCTCCTCCTCGTTTTCGGGGGCGGCCAAAGAGGGGGGCGTCCAAGAGAGGGGGGGCGGCGCAAATCATGGCCAGCGGCACGTGCGCGGCCCAGAGGGCGGGGGGCGGGGACGCATTGAAATAAGAAGAGGCGCCATGAGATCAGTGGGAAGTATCATGCCCCCGCCATGATATCCCTCCCTAGTCTTCACACCCTCTTTGCCGCCCCCGACTTTTCCTCCTCCACCGCCTCCTCCTCGTCATCCTCATCCAGGGCAGGACGATCAAGAGGACGCAGCATGACCAGACACTTCAGGACGTCTGCCCGGACTTCTCTTCGCTCGGCGCCCCCCCCACCCCTCATACCTGGCGGCGCCTCCAGCGACGCGCGCGCGCTCCGCGCACCAGGGGAGATTTTTGTTTCACCGCAAACACGCCACCAAGAGCTCGCTACACAAGGAGTCGGATGCCCCAAAACGCTGGACACCAAGATGTCGTGGTCCAGTGTCGTTGACCCGAACGTGTCCAGAAAATTCGCAGGCCCAACGAGGAGGAGGAGGAGGAGAAGAAGGGGCAAGGGCGCTGTGCGACGATCCCCAAGGGCCCAAACGGCCAGATCAAAAACATTAAAACACACACAACGGCAAGCCAGGAGGGAGGACGCTCCGCGTACCAGGGGAGGAGGAGGAGGGGCGGTGGGCGGGGAAGGGCTCCGGCCCGAGCCTCGGGCCGGGCCAGAGGCCCGGTGAGGGCCCCCAGAGGCGGAAAATATGTTGAGTTGCCCGGAGGCGCCACAAATCAGAAGCCGCGCGGGAAACTGGCGGCAGTAGAAAGCGGGCATCACCGTGCCTGGGCCTGTGTAGGGCTTCTGCCGGCACCTGCCGCCATGGAGGAGGGGGGCCTCGTGCCTCCCAGGCGGGAGGCCCCCGAGGGGGACCCAAGGTCACCGAGCGCGTTCCACTACTCGCCAAGTGCCTACTCGCAAACGCCCTAACAGAAAAACGCGTGTCGAACACCCTCTTCTGCAGTGGTTCATGATCCCCCTCGCCGTGCGGTAGGATCGCGTCGTGCGGGCTTCCGACTGGGTCGAGGCCTCTGAAAAACAAAAAAAACAAAAAAAAACGTCGGGGACGCCTGGGGTCGCGGCCTCGGTCGGCCGCTCTCCGGCCCGCTCGGCGCGGCACTCCGCCACGTCCGAGCGCTCTCCCCTCTCCCCGCCCCCCGCGCGGCCGCCCTCGTCTTCCCAGACGTGGTCGCGTCGCCAGACAACCCAGGACGGGCGGTCGTGGGTTGAGGCGGGCGTGTCCATTGACAGGGGGATTGTCGACGAAAAATATAAAACATACTCCCAAAATCATTAAAAAAAGAATCCAAACATAATCTGGGGACATGTTTTTGGGTATTGCTTGCCCTTTTTGGAGTATGTGTTTTAGTATTTACCTAACAGCTTTTGCTAATATGTTTCTACTGGGGTCAAAAGAGAGTATCCTGATTCCCCAGGGGGGTCTGGGCAAGATCCGGGGGATGCCGGGGAAAAATGGGGATCCGCGCCTGATATGGGGGAACTCAGTCGGGGGTGCCGTGGGTGCCCGCCTGATATGGGGGAACTCAGTCGGGGGTGCCGCGGGCCCACGCCTGACATGAGCAGATCCGGACAGATCCGGCAGCCGCCCCACGAGGGTCTGGGCAGGATCCGGACAGATCCGGACAGATCCGGCAGCCCCACCCAGAGGATCCTTTCCGTCATCTTTTTGTCGTGCCGCATTCTTTTGCGGTCCTTGCTTTTCTTTTGGGTTTTCCCGAATTCACGCGCACCGAATGACATCTTCCCGAATAAGAAAGCCGGTTCGCGAATACTTTCAAACGCGCCCGCCCGATTTCCCGAATAAGAAAGCCGGTTCCGAATTCTTGTATACATGTATGGTGTGTATGTAAGTATACATATGCATGTTATATGCATGTATTCATATTACACGCATATTAGTGTATGGAAAATACTCGTATGTTTGGTTTCATATGTATATCTGTATGTTTTCATATATATACATATATATATATACATATATGTGTGCGTGTTTCCAATTATATGCTATATGTATGTTCTTATAGGTGTTTCTGTATGTTTTCTCTACACATACTAATGCACACAATATTGCAAATAACGTACCATAAAACATGGCGTTGCAAGCTTATGTCTGAGTGAATTGGAAGGACGTTTCAAGCGGGAGCACACGTAGCCATTATGATGTTTGGACACCGCCAGGAAGAGGCGGCTATGTTTTTCTGTTCAACGACGTATCATGTGACAAAGGCTGTATCCGCGCCATCATCTGCACGTCGGCTGTTCCTTCGTGCGCGTGTTTTCTATGCAATCCGTCAGTTTCCGTACAGGCACACTCGTTGCGCATGTTTGCGACACCTGTATACGACACTCACCAAACATGCACAACCAGGAATGATAGAGATTGCACGATGCGGCTGGACCACGTGTGAATTAAGCCATACGGCACACCATCGTTGGAGCGGAGTTTGCCGTTCACGAAAAAAATATCGGGCGGCGATTGGCCGCATTGGGGGGGGGAGGAGGAGGAGGAGGAGGAGGAGGAGGAGGAGGAGGAGGAGGAGGAGGAGGAGGAGGATGAGGACGAGGAGGAGGAGGAGGAGGAAGAGGACGATGCAATGAATGTGGCGGGACCGCCTGCCACAATCACAGAGAAACAAACACCATTTCATCGGCCCCAGTTGTTCGGATTTTCAGGGTGGCATCTACTCAAAGCCTAACTTGCTAGAGTTCTCGCATCGGTGATCCCATACTCTTCCTTTGAGTTTAGGCCCTCATGGTACACGTGCCCTGGCGGAACGAGCCTCGAGGGGCACATCTTCTCCCCTATTCACCCCCCGTCCTCATCCTCCTGGCCTCGTTTTCACCCTCCTCGTTCGCCTCCCTACGGTTGGAGAGAGATGTTAACACCCCTCAAGAGCAGCGGCCAATAAAAGTAGATCACATCGATGCGATGTTGCCCCGTGTATTTCATCATCCACCAAAGATCAGGGATCCGCGCCACGTGGCTGGCGCCCGTCTCCCGCCGAGACACCTTGTCTGCAGCGCTGACGGGAATAGCTAAAACAGGACAGAACAATAAGGGATGGAACGAGGAGGGGATTGTGGGAAGAATGAGATTGAGACGCACAGAAATACATCAGATGTTGTGAATCACACATCTGCGAACGTGTACCTATATTTGTCGATGAGTGTTGTACCCATCTTGGCTGGATGGATGGTCTCTGCCAGCTCAGCCGCCCTCCCAATGCATGATTCATCAGCGTACTCCCAGTGGTCCTTGGGGAGAGGGTGAAACATCAACGTGCCCGATTGCAGCCATCGATTGACAGAAAAACCTGTCAAATGACAGAAAAACCTGTCATATGACAGAAACGTCTGTCAAATAACCAAAAACCTGACATATGACAGATACGTTTGTCAAATAACCAAAACCTGTCATATGACAGAAACGTCTGTCATTCGACATGTTGTTCCCCATCACAGACAACAACCGTTGATTGACAGAAAAACCTGTCATATGACAGAAAATTCTGTCATATGGCAGGTTTCATGTTCAACGTGATGTTGGTTTAGTTACCGAGGATTTTTCTGTCAATTGACGGCGGCCGCTCAAAATCATTTATTCTGAATTGCATTGCGTTATGAATGCATCAGGCCCAACCCTTTCAGCACCGGAGGTCCGCAGGATTGCCAGGCGAACATCCTTCTGCGCACTCTAAGAATAAATGGTGCTTCGGCTTGAGCTTCCAACAGTACCCATCTAGCCGCGTGCTCTGGAGTTCCTTGTATAGGATCAGGTGACGTCTAGCGTAATCTGCAAGCCTCCTCGGGCTCACCGCGGGGTCCCAATGTTTGCATTCGGCGTAGCACAACGCAAGGTAATGAACACAGCCCCGCCTGGAAAGCACAACAAAACAATCCTCAAACGTTCCTGGAAAAGATCCGAAGTTCCCACGAAGTATTTGAGATCCCTTGGGGAACCACCCGTCGTTCTAATTCCTCGGATGTAACCCCTGGATGTGTTTTGTTTCGGGAAGGATGGGAAAGGCGTTCCAGCCCGGATCCAAACGGGCCTGGTTCGATGATGTTCTGTGGTGCACGGCACAAGCGTCGACAATAGTTGGTCCAGGATTGGGATCATGTATCGTCCCTCGGCTGCTTTCGTTTTCATCTTGGGCGACTTGCTTGTGCTTACCCTGAACATTTTGAGAGTCAGGTTTCCTATCGGACACGGCGCGCCAGTGGCGTGTGACGCGAGCTGCAATAAATTGAACATGGCGGTCACAACCTGGGGTGTCAATTCAAAGTCTGAGGCTGAGCCCCTATGCCGCAACCCCAGTGGATGAGGATGGAGAAGGGGAAGTAGGTAGGAGGGGAACGGAGTTTGAGGATGCGGAAGGGGAGGAGGGTGCGAATGACGAGGTGGGTGGAGGGAGAAGGGGGAGGAGGATGAGGATGAGGATGAATGAGCGCACATTTTGTTGCAAAGCACCTGTTGCGGCCTCGACACGAGACCTCCCAATTCGCGGAAGATTTCCCACAGCACATTACCGATGGTCTCTTGGGTAACGCCGAGGCATCCCACGTGCATGAGACCAGGCCTGAGATATGCCCAAGAAAATCCTGGAATTTGTAGAGGCCCTGTGTCTACCACCACATCACCAGATCGCAGAAGCTCGACATACCGCTTGGGGCTGTACACCCCCTGTCGCCATCTGGCGTCGGTTCCAAAATCTCCGAGTTCGGCCACCGTGCAAGGACATCGGTAGCATATCTTGGTATCTGGAGGGCCTCCCCGCCATCCTGTAATGTTGAACACCCCTTTGAACCACGCCCAATCGCCCCTGTAGTCTATTACACCACCCCGAGTTCGCATTGGCGTGCCTGCTAGTACGGC